GAGTGGCTTTTTTCTTGCAACCCTCCCATACAAACCACATTTGTGGAGAATTTGTGATATTGGTGTCACATGCACACAATGACCACTCTTTGTCATCAATTCCTGACACGGCTTCAGAGTTGCTGGAGGCCTCTTGGTTGCCACTCTGACCAGATTCCTCCTGGCTCTTTCATCCAGTTTGGAGCGACGTCCTGATCCAGGGTGGGTCTGTGTGGTACTAAATAACTTCCCATAGTTAACAAGAGTCACGGATTCACCAGGGCAGTCCCGCTTATTGTCCCATTGTCCCGTGACTTTTGTGTCCTGATTTCTGCAATGTACTTGCCTCTTTCATATCTATTTATTCTGGTCACCGTGTCGATCAAACGCCAAGGCCGCAGCATTGTAAAGGGATCACTTTCATCTGACTGCGGAGACGGGTCTGCAGGCAGACCCCAATCCTTGCAGGGAGCCACCACACAAGTCATGCCTTGGTCATGCCCTCCTCATCAGCGGCACAGCGTTCAGTGATGGCAGGGGGCACAGAGGTGGCATAAGAGTGCAGGGGAGTGCAGTTGTGGAGAGGGAGGGTACAGCGTGCAGAGGAGTTTGTGGTGGGGTGGCAGTGGTGTGTGGTGTAGACATTGGTGACAGATGTGCACAGCAGGAGTGCAGAGGTATGTTGGGGGTGGGAGCAAGGAGTGCGCAGGTGGGTGCAGAGGTGTGCAAGGGAGTACAGTGGTAACAGGGTTGTGCAAAGGGCACGCTAATACTGCCTGGATGTGAAAAGTGTTTGTTGTTACTGGGATTTAGGGGGAGGATTGGTAGCAGAGGGGTACATTAGAATGCTATGGAGTATAGTGGTGAAGGAGGTATATTGAGGGGGTACAGAGGTATGCAGGGGGCATATTGATGGCAAAGGTAGAGGGAGGAAGTTCAGTGGTGGCGGGGGGCACAGAGGTGGCATAAGAGTGCAGGGAAGTGCAGTTGTGGAGAGGGAGGGTACAGCGTGCAGGGGTGTTTGTGGGGGGGGGGGGGGACAGTGGTGGCAGTGGGTGTGTGTTCTGGGGTATAGAGGTTTCTGGGGATGGACATTGGTGACAGATGTGCACAGCAGGAGTGCAGAGGTATGTTTCGGGGGTGGGAGCAAGGAGTGGGCAGGTGGGTGCAGAGGTGTGCAAGGGAGTAAAGTGGTGACGGGGTTGTCGGGGCAGAGGGGTACATGAGAATGCTGTGGAGTATAGTGGTGACAGAGTTATATTGAGGGGGTACAGAGGTTTGCAGGGGGCATATTGATGGCAAAGGTAGAGGGAGGAAGTTCAGTGGTAGCAGGGGGCACAGAGTGCAGGGGAGTGCAGTTGTAGCAGAGGTGTGCTCAAGGGGTACAGAGGGGTGTGAAGTGGCTACAGTGATGGCAGATGGGTACAGGGGGCGAGCAGGGGTGTGTGAGAGCATGTAATAATTCAGAGGTGTTTGCATAGTTGCCAGCTGTCCCAATCTGTCCAGGACACTCACAGATTTTTAAAATGTGACCCGACCTTGTCCCGGGATCTGTCCTGGAAATCAAGGCCGGAGACATGACAGTCTGACATTCAAAGCTCGCTCCGTCGCTCACAGTGCTGCCACTATCAGGCTTCAACAGGACCATGTTGGCAGCACAGATCCCTCCCCCAGCAGTGATCCCTCGGGTAGTGGGGGTTCCACTGACTGTGTAAGGTGGAGCTTGCTGCGAGGAAGGCAATGATTTGGCAGGATTAAGGGAAGAGGGTGCGGCCGTCATCCAGTGATCACACCCAGCCCACATGGCCCTGTGATTGGCTATGGAGAGAGCGGAATGGAAAGTCTGTGTGGGCAGCAAGGTCGATCTCTGCTAACTCATGTCTCCAGCCATGGGGATCTTAGCTTCCATAGTTGCCAAGAATGTACAGCCAGCGAGAATCTGCTAGCAATAAAAGGGTTAATCATGTCTCTAGCCACCAAGGATCTTACTAGCCTAAGACCTCTGGTAGTTAGAGACATGATTAACTCTTTTATTGCTAGCAGATCCTTGGTGGTTGAACATGAGTAACCATCTTGTAGAGCCACGCTCATATTAAATGAATGCCCCACCCCTAAAGTACATGCTCCACCTACAGTGGCTTTCTAGGCACAGAAAAACTAAAATTATTTATGGGGAGGTATGGAGAAATGTCTTCTGTAAATAGATGTCCTCTTTACAGTTGCAAGAAAAAGTATGTGAACCCCTTGGGATTACGTGGAGTTTTGCATGAATTGGGCATAAAATGTGCTCTGAACGTCATCTAAGTCACAACAATAGAAGAACAACAGTCTGCTGAACATAATACTACACAAACATTAGATGTTGCCTTGGTTTAATTGCACATAACATGTAAACATTCACAGTGCAGGGAGGAAAAAGTATGTGAGGCCCTAGCTTAATGACTTCTCCCAGAGCTAATTGGAGCCAGGAGTGAGCCAACCTTGACTCCAATCAGTGTGATGATATTGGATGTGTTGCTGACAGCTGTCCTGCCCTTAAAAAACACACACCTGTTTTGGGTTTACTGGTTTCAAGAAGCACTGTGTGACGTGAACCATGCCTCGCAGAAAAGAGCTCTCAGAAGACCTACCATCAAGAATTGTTTACTTGCATGAAGCTGGAAAGGGTTACAAAAGTATCTCCACAAGCCTTGATGTTCCTGTGTCCACGGTAAGACAGACTGTCTACAAATGGAGAAAGTTTAGCACTGTTGCTACTCTCCCTAGGCGTGGTCATCCTGTAAAAATGACTGCAAGAGCACAGCGCAGAATGCTGCATGAGGTAAAGAAGAATCCCAGAGTGTCACCTAAAGACCTACAGAAATCTCTGGCACATGCTAACATTTTTGTTGACACATCTACAATAAGGAAAACATTAAACAAGAATGGAGTACATGGGAGGACACCACGGAGGAAGCCATTGCTGTCCAAAAAGAATATTGCAGCATGTTTGAAAGTTTGCAAAAGAGCACCTGGATGTTCCACAGCACTACTGGCAAAATATACTGTGGACAGATGAAACCAAGATTGAGTTGTTTGGGAAGAACACACAACACTATGTGTGGAGAAACAAAGGCCCAGCACACCAACATCAAAACCTCATCCCCACTGTGAAACATGGCGGAGGGAGCATCATGGTTTGGGGCTGCTTTGCTGCCTCAGGGCCTGGACGGATTGTTGTCATTGATGGGAAAATTAATTCCAGAGTTTATCAAGACATTTTTCAGGAAAACGTACGACCATCTGTCCGCCAACTGAAGCTCCGCAGAGGATGGGTGATGCAACAGGACAATGACCCAAAGCATACAAGTAATTCAACAAAACAATGGCTGCAACAGCACAGAATACGCCTTCTGGAGTGGCCCAGTCAGAGTCCTGACCTCAACCCCATTGAAATGCTGTGGCATGACCTTAAGAGAGCGATCACACCAGAACATCCCAAGAATATTGCTACACTAAAACAGTTTTGTGAAGAGGAGTGGTCCAAAATGACTCCAGATCGTTGTGCAGGTCTGATCTGCAACTACAGGAAACGTTTGGTTGAGGTTATTGCTGCCAAAGGAGGGTCAACCAGTTATTAAGTCCAAAGGTTCACATACTTTTTCCTCCCTGCACTGTGAATGTTTACATGTTATGTGCAACTAAACCATGGCAACATCTAATGTTTGTGTAGTATTATGTTCAGCAGACTGTGTTCTTCTATTGTTGTGACTTAGATGAAGTTCAGAGCACATTTTATGCCCAATTCGTGCAAAACTCCACGTAATCCCAAGGGGGTTCACATACTTTTTCTTGCAACTGTACTCTTTTATTGCTAGCAGATCCTGGTTGGACATGAGTAACCATAAACGCTCATATTAAATGAATACCCCACCCCTAAAGTACATGCTCCACCTACAGTGGCTTTCTAGGCACAGAAAAACTAAAATTATTTTGGGGAGGTATGAGAAATGTCTTCTGTAAATAGAATATCAGAATCTTTTGGTACAATGGGTGGTATGAAATAATTATGGTAATGATCGCGCCATCTTGTTGCTTTGTGACATGATGGTTGTGGATCTGATTGGATAAGATATGATGGCTGTGGATCTGATTGGACAAATATGATGGCTGTGGATCTGATTGGATAATATATGATAGCTGTGGATCTGATTGGACAGATATGATAGCTGTGGATCTGATTGTATAGAGTGGTGACAAGATGGCGTCTGTAAGGTGTATTTTAGAAAGTGAGTACACAACCCCTGTGGACATCAGGCATACTGACGAAATGCATTGGGTGGGACTATCTTGGTACATCAATTCCGATCTAGTGGAATGCAAACTGGTGTTCTATTAGTCTCCATGAGGTTCTGATATGCCAAAAAAAAAATTTTTTTTCTACCTATGTAAGTGTAACTTTTAGTAGTTTTTTTTTTTTAAATAAGCATTGCTACACCATTATTATTTTTATACAGGATTTCTATTGCACCAACAGTTTGCGCAGCGCTTTACAAAATGAAGGCAGACATTCTAATTACAATACAATTTGGTACAAGAGGAAACAGAGGGCCCTGATCCTGAGAGCTTACAATCTAGGAGGAAGGGTCGAGTGATACAAAAGGTAATATCTGTGGGGGGTTGAGCTGATGGAGGAAATAAATGACAGTTTACTAGTTAGAAGCAGGACAGGCTACTTTAAAGAGATGTTTTCAGGGATCGTCTAAAGGTGGATAGATTAGGAGATAGCCGATCAGATTGGGGTAGGGAGTTCCATAGGATGGGAGAAGTCCTGGAGGCGAGCATGGGAGGAGGTGACACAGGAACTAGAGAGCAGAAGGTCTTGGGAGGATCGAAGAGAGCGGTTTGGTTGATATTTCGAGACCAGGTTGGTGATGTAGCTGGGGGACAGAGTTGTGGATGGCTTTGGGCGAGTGGAAGCCAGTGAAGTTGTATTTTGAATTTTATTTGTTGGGCGAGTGGAAGCCAGTGGAGGGATTGACAGAGAGGGGTGGAGGACACTGAGTGGAGGCCAGTGGAGGGATTGGCAAAGAGGGGTGGATGCCAGTGGAGGGATTGGCAGAGAGGGGTGGAGGACACTGAATGGAGGCCAGTGGAGGGATAGGCAGAGAGGGGTGGAGGACACTGAGTGGAAGCCAGTGGAGGGATTGGCAGAGAGGGGTGGAGGACACTGAATGGAGGCCAGTGGAGGGATTGGCAGAGAGGGGGTGGAGGACACTGAGTGGAAGCCAGTGGAGGGATTGGCAGAGAGGGGTGGAGGACACTGAGTGGAGGCCAGGGATTGGAGGGAGGGGTTGGCGGAGAGTGGAGGGGTATTGGCAGTGAGGAGTAGACACTGAACAGTTGGTAAGGTGGATGAGCCTGGCAGCAGTATTCATGATGGACTGGAGGGGGGGATAGCCTATGTAAAGGTAAGCCAATGAGAAAGGAGTTGCAGTAGTCGAGGCGAGAGATGACCAGGGAGTGAATTAGGAGCTTTGTGGTGTCATTGGTTAAAAAGGGGCGTATACTGGAGATGTTGCGGAGGTTGAGCGGTATGCTTTGGACAGGGATTAGATGTGGGCCTGAAAGGACTGTCCAGAATCCAGGGTTCCTCCTCGCACCCTGGCATGCGGAGACGGGTTGATAGTGGTGCTATTGATCCTGACCAAGAAATCGAGGGAAGAGGCACGTGGGGGAGGTAATATTACGAGCTCAGTTTTGGATAGATTGATTTTTATGAAGTGGTGTGACATCCAGTCTGATAATAATGGGAGATGGTAACTACCTGGAAATTGACTGGAGTAATGATACTGCAAGAACAGTTAAAGGGCAAAAATTTTTAAACCTACTAAAGGACAATTTTATGGTACAGTTCATAGAGGCCCCAACTAGGAACGATGCTCTGCTGGACTTGGTAATCTCAAACCATGCAGAGCTTATTACGAATGTCCATATAAAAGAACATCTGGGTAGCAGTGACCATAACATGATTTCATTTATTGTTTAGCTGTAAACAGCGAGCACATACAGGAAAAAATAAAAACGCTCAACTTTAAGAGAGTTAATTTTCCAAGGCTGAGAGATGCTCTCTAAGACTTAGACTGGGAGGGAATATTGGCATCGATGAACACAACACAGAAATGGTAGTTCTTCAAAGACTGTATGTGAACACATTGCAAAATATATTCCCATGGGCAACAAGTATAAAAGGTTAAAAATCAAACCTATGTGGTAATTGGGGGACTATGGGGCCAATGAGGTTTAATGTTGATAAGTGTAAGGTTCTGCACTTGGGGGCTAAGAATATGCATGCATCATACATACTAGGGCAGGTACAACTGGGGGGATCAATGGTGGAGAAGGATCTGGGGGGGGCCAATGGTGGAGAAGGGTCTACGGTAGTCAATGGTGGAGAAGGGTCTACGGTAGTCAATGGTGGAGAAGGATCTGGGGTGGTCAATGGTGGAGAAGGATCTGGGGTGGTCAATGGTGGAGAAGGATCTGGGGGGGGGGTCAATGGTGGAGAAGTATCTGGGGGGGGTCAATGGTGGAGAAGTATCTGGGGGGGGTCAATGGTGGAGAAGGATCTTGGGGGGGGTCAATTGTGGAGAAGGATCTGGGGGGGTCAATGGTGGAGAAGGATCGGGGGGGTCAATGGTGAAGGATCTGGGGGGGGTCAATGGTGGAGAAGGATCCAGGGGGGGGGGTCAATGGTGGAGAAGGATCTGGGGGGGTCAATGGTGGAGAAGGATCGGGGGGGGGTCAATGGTGGAGAAGGATCTGGGAGTTCTGTTAGCCGTGTGTTCTCTGTATATCTGCTCTGCTTGCCATGATGAGGGGGGCAGGGATTTGGAGCGCACTCGCTGAGCATAGAAAGCTGAATAGGTACCAGACCCCTCCGGTATTTTGGACAGGAAGCCGCCTCCTCCTTTATATTATGCAGGTTGTGGGACGATTTATCTTCACCTCTGCTTGTCGGTGAATCGTTCCTTATTTCTGTAAAAGCTTTTCTTTTACTCGAACATTCAATGGGAATATTTGCCTGTAAGTAATTGACCTCTGCCCTCCGGGGGCCAGCCGGGACCCTCTCATAGGGAGGATTTATTTTATTTTTATATACCATAAGATAAACTGGAACTCTCTGACCATCTGCTGTCCGCTGGTGCCTGCGCTGCTCCCCCGGGGGAGGTCGTTATTCCTTCACATTTATCCAGAAAACTCGGTATTATCATTGCTATTAATAAAAGAAATAAAATGATAACTTATGATCTCTTTTCTGTGCATTTTTTTATGTAGAAATAAGAGTTTAAAAAAAAAAAAGTTTATTGGGTGAAATCCTTTTTTTAATTAATTTTGTTATTAGTAGTTGTAATAATTTACAATCTAATAATAATATAGCATACATACTATATTATTTATTATTATTATTATTATTATTATTATTAATAAATATTAATATACCATTGTGTTATGATTATTATTATTTTTCTATATTATCATTATTCTTATTATTAATAATATTATTTTATTTATATATAATATTGTTTATATGCTATATTATTTTTTTTAATTTTTAAATAAATTAATAATATATTAAAAAATCAATTATTTATTTTTTATTCTTTTATTTTATATATTTTTATTATTATTTTATTTAATAATTTTTAAATTTATTATTAAATAAAAATACATTTTTAAATTATTAACATAGTAAAAATTAATAATTAATAAATTATATATTATACTTTTATTAATTTTACTGTTACTATTTATTATAGCATACATACTATATTTATAATTATTTTTTTTAATTTTTATATAACATTACTATTGTTTTTATGATTTATTTTATTATTCAGGGGAATGAACTTACGGGTTTATACTTGTTTTTTTTTTCAGGGAACAAATTTTTTTTCATATTTTATTTTTATTTATAATTTTTTTTATTTTTAATGAAAACAATTTTATTTTTTTATTTGCAAAAATTTACTTTAATTAGAAAAAATTTTATTCCATTTTTTTCATTGCAATTAATTTTCATTTTTTTTTAAAATAAAATTTAGAAATATTGGTTTTATGCAAAGGGAGTCTGATTTTGGAATCTAATTATTTTTTTAATAAAACCCCAATGGGTTTATTATTATTTTTTTTTTTTTTTAATAATTAAATATTTATTTTTTTTTTCTTTTTTCATTTTTTTTATAATGATTTTTTTTTTTAAACTTTTTCTTTTTTCAAAATTTTTTTTATTTTTTTTTTTTTTTTTTTTCTTTTTTTTTTGACGCAATGGGTTTTGTATGCTTGTATTCTTCAGGGGTTTTTCCCAACGGGTTTTTTTTAATTTTTTTTTCAGGGCAACAATTAAAATATATTTTTTATTTACGCTTTTTTTTTTATTTTATTTTTTTATTCCATTTCATGATATTTTTAAGGTGAGCTTTTTTTTTTGTCATTGAATAAAAAAATAGTATTAAAATTTAATTGTTTCAGGATTAAAAATTAATTTGCATTGAATTTTAAAAAAAATCTCCAACCTCCTTAATTTTAATTTTTTTTATTTACCCTAAATTAATTTTTTTTTTTTATTTACATAATTTGCTGAACATTTTTTTTTAAAGGTTTATTTCATAAAATAATCATTTATAATTGATTTTTTGATAATTTATAAATGCTAAAATTTAATAAAATTTTTAATATATATATAATTTTTATTTTATTAATTTAATTATTTTTTAATTAAAATGATGATAAAATCGATAATAATAATATATTTTTAAAAAAAAAACAATGATAATAAAGAATTTTAAAACCCAAAAAATGATTATTATTTTTTAATTTTTTTACCAATAAAAATTTAAGATGATAATATTTTTTTTATGATTTAAAAGCAGTAATATTTTTTGGTAATAATATATTTTTAAAAAAACAGTAATAATGAATTTTTTTTTAAAATATAATTATTTAAAAAAAATAATAAAGATGATGATAATTTATATTTTTTTTAAACAATGGTGATAATAATAATAATAAAAAAAAAGTAATAATTTATTTTTTTTTTTTATATTTTTAATATAAATAATATATAATAATAAAATTTTTTTTAAAAATAATGATGATATTATTGAATGATAATTTTTTTAAATAATATTGATAAACTAATTTTTAATATAAATAAAAATTTTAAAATATATTTATAGGATGATTTTTTAAAACCAATAAATTTTAAATTTCTTTTTTATAAAAAATAAAAAAAAAAATATTAATTAAATTTTTTATTTGATAATATATAATGATAAAATCGATAATATTTATTTTTTTTATGATGATAATATATAATGATTTACAAAAAAAATTAAAAATGATATAATAATATATAAAAAATTAATAATGAAGGTAATACCAGAGAATAATAAAAAAAAAAAAATTTAATAATAAAGATATTTTTATATAATGATAAAACTAAATTTAATAAATATATTTAATAATTAAAATTAAATAAAAAATATAATAATAAATAAAAATGATAAATTAATTTAAAAATGATAAAACAAAATAAAATTAAAAAATGATAAAAATTTAATAATATATAATTTAAAACTAAAAAAATTAAATGATGAAAAATATAATTTAAAATTAGTAAAATTTGAATAATATATATAAAATTTAAAAAATTTTTTTGTATAAAAACAATGTTGATAATATATAATGATAAAATTATATTAAATATAAAGATTTGATTTAATCATATACATGATAAAATGATATTTTAAATAAAAAAAAAGTTTTTTTTAATGATTTAATTTTTTAATTTTATTACCATAAAATTATAAAACTATATTTTTATTAAAAATTTTTTTTGGTATATAAAAAAAAATGGTTTAACAATGACGATAATAATTTTTAAAAAAAATAAATTATATAATGATGATTAAAATAAATTTTATATTATTATAATTTTTAAAAAACCAGTAATTAAACTGATGATCAGAATATATGAAAAAATTAAAAAAATTTTTTAAAAAAAAAATTATAAAAACAATTTGATTTTTATAAAGAATGATAATTTTTAATATTAATAAAAAAAATAATATTAGATGATTTAAATAAAAATAAAAAAAATATATAAATAATATATTATTTTTTATTAATGAGGGTGATACCAAAAAATATATTTTTTTTATTGACATATCAACTATGTCGCTATTACTAATTTTAAATGAATTTTTAAAAAGTTTTTTTTGTAATTCCCCCCAGCCCAGATACCACCCCCCCATTGACTTCTATACATACAACAACATCAATATTTTTTTATAATTTTTTATATTTGGTGTTTCTGATTAAAATTTATCCTTTATCTTCAAAATTCCAATTTTTAAAAAATAATTTTGCAGACTCCACCTTTGCAACATAAAAAAAAAAATGATTTTTTTTTCCTAATATTATATAAAAAAAAAAAAAATTTATAAAAAATCTTCATCCACTTCATCATATACAGACTAACTTTTTTGCAACTTAATATACTGGCCTGCCTTGGCTATCCCCGCTTCAGTCGATCCTGAATATTTTATTATTTCATTAAATTTTTCCAATTTTTATTTTTTTAATTTTATTTTTATTTTTTTTTTTTTTTAAATCCCTCCACTTTTTTTTTGCACAACGGATCAAATTTAATTTTTTCCTAACACTGATAATTTACAAT